CGATTAGGTGTATATGGTCGGTACCAGCGGTGGTAGTGGTGCCCACATACACTCCGACGATTAAGTCAGTGGACGGTGATGATGGTGGTGCCGGAATGCACAAGCTGAAGGGGGAGGAGAAAGTAGAATATCTTAGTTGTGGAATAACATGAGTATAATAGTTACCTCATTTTTGGCTAAGTTCTTGGCATTTATAGGCAAAGAGCACTGCTAGATGCTAGACACTTGTGATCATCCGACGATGCAAGATGTCTGCTTGTCGGTGTCCATCAATCGCTTCGTAGGTGTGCGGACAATTAATTCTTCTGATTTTGAATTGACATATGACAGAGATGTCACATCAATCATTCCTAAAGATATAGAGACAATCTTGACCAAAAGATTCGTCTGTGAAACTGGCGACGGAGAGGTGCTTCTCATCTTCTTTCACAGCATAACGCTTCGGTTACCTCACGCTTCGAAAGCGACGCTTCAGAAAATGTAGATGCCTCGGACTATATCACTTCGATGACCTCACGCCTCGGACATGACATTTTCAGGTACGCCTCCTCTTCATACGCTTCGATTATTATCTGAAACGGACGCGGTGAGGTTCTATGCAGGGGCATAACATTCTGTATCCACCATGATTGGAGTTATAGCTTCTATTACACGTCCCGATCTCTTCACTAAACTTGTCACCATCTCTGTTTCTCCGAGGTTAGATCTTTGACTTTGAAACTGGTTTGTATTTCTTGGATGGGAGTTGAATTCTTGAAGTGTAAAAGTAAATATCAATTGAATATCACTGAATAAATTGCACAGTTGCATAGGTCTTTAAATTTCACATGAATAATGTTGTTTGTGAATATTGGGATCATCCTAATCCTCAAATTGAGGTGAAATGATAAGGTCATTTAAATTGGTGTATAGGTGATCTTATTATTTTCTGCATCCTACTTTGTACATATACCTTTCCTCCGAAGTTAAGACTACTGTTCAATTAAATAGATGAATAGCTACGTAGGTTTATATTAACTTTTAAACGTCTACCTTTTTGTGGATATAAATTTCTTTTCTTGGAGATATATTATAAAGATAAATGAAGCAACAAATGATATGACAGATGAATTAATTGTTGGGTAAGATGAGTCCCAAAAATTAAATTTAAATTGGTGGAATTTTAGTGTTAATCACTGTTGCTTAGCAAGTTTTGAAGGAGCTCTCCAAACTTTGAATCTTCTCTAGAATTAACTTCTAGAGAATACACAATGAATGCAAATTCGATAGCTGTTCAATTTTAGTTAGTAACTTTTATGTACAAACCATCATGTTTGGTAATTACATACTTTTTGTACTTTTATTTATTAGGACGGTGCTAAGAGGACAGAGTACAGCAGCACTCACAACACTGAGGGTGGGTGGGGTTTTTGGTGGGTTTTTATACATTGGACCCACTTGGCATGAGTGTTTGAAGGGGTTCTGTTCAGAAAACCCATGTACACTCAGCATTATTGTATTTATTAACCTTTTAAATGTGGTTTACCTTTAATGTGCCATGGCCCCAAATGTGTACTTCATGTACCTTTGGTTAACCTTGGGTCGAATCTTGAGCTTTGCTTATTTAATTACATATATATTTTTAATTCTTTTAGCACATTTTCTTGTCATGCTTTTCAATTTCTAACACATAATATGTAAACATTCACAATTTCATGTTTTTCGCTTAACTTCATGCTCAGGTACTTGAATGACACGGACTATTATGGAGGAGTTGAACAAGAAGAGATTTAACAATTATTGGAAGCCATGCAATCAAATTACAAGGCATGGTGTGATGGATTTGCACCTCTAGTCATAGGAGGTGACATGGAAACATTGGCTGTCCAAGGATTCAGCAGGACATCATACAACATGAGACCAGACATAGCATTAAGTATGGTACAAACTATATTTCAAAGTGACATGTGGCATCTATTGTGCCATGTTACTATACCATGTCACATAATTCAAAGTATGAAAAACTTAGCCATTCTAGTAGTGATTTTTGAGTACATCCACCAGAACATTGACAGTAAATCCATAGTTGAGATGATGCAGACTAATGGTCACTTACCTCAATTGAGCTTGCTCGACGTTGTGACTCCAGTTCTTCTTAGGCACATTCGCTATAGCATTGCTTCATGATTATTTTTATCTACTTGTCTTGTTCGGTCTTTGCTTGGAAAAGAACTTTGGAAGGCTAGATATTCAATATTGGATGTCAATGTTAAGTGCTTGTGTATATTTCAAATGCTTTACCACTTAATTAATTGATGTAATTCTATAAATTTTGCTATTATTTTATTAAACAATTATTACATATTTCACTTGATATGTAGCCTCTTTTGGCTCCCATTCTTTCCAAATTTTAATGGTTAAAATAGTGTTTTTTTGAAAAATATGCGGTTAAAAAAGAATTAAAAGTTTTTTATTTGCGTATAATATTATTTTATGAAAATTTGTGTGGTTGAAAATAAGAGAAAAAAAAGAATGAAAAGAATAATGGGGGTCAAACGGGGCGTAGTATTTACGTATATTAAATAATTCAGCACAGAATAAACAGAATTTCAAAAATACGAACATAGTTAATGAAGTCCAAATCCAATCAAATAAAGTCTACGCACATAGTTTAGCACTAGAAGTTGATAAGAACCTGTCACAAAAAATTGTTACAATTTTTTATTGCCAAAGAAAATAAATTAAAATTATTCTCAAGAATATTATCAACAAACATATAGTCCTTGTTTGAGCACATTTTTTTCTATCAAAATATATTTTTCAACAGTGATTTAATCATACTTCAATCACACATTTTTTAATAAAATAATATTACATATAAATTCATGATTTTTCTTTATTTTTAATTATATATTTCTCATCAATAAACTATTTAAAAATCATTTTTTTGATAAGAATGGTCTCAAACAAGGGCATAGTTGTCATCAACCTCTCCTAGCTGGTTTTGCAGTCATATTCTGAACCAAGTAACAAAACTACAAACCAGTTCCTACAGTTTCCAACACAAGCCCGACCAAATAAATACAGATCCGTCCTAGATTTCACTTCAAGAGAATCCATTTGCTGCGAAGAATAAGTAGAAATGGGTTTAGTCGGAGAAGCACGCAACATGACTTGGAACATGTGGTCTCTACTCAACCTGCCTTGATTCTTATATTTTGTGTTTAAATTTTAATCATAGAAAAAAAATAAAGAATAAATAACTAAATGGAACGAAAGTAGTGATATTTTATTCTCCACCCATTTGCATCAACCCTAATTATCAAATACCAAAGAGGACACAACTTCATGGATACATATTTCTAACTGCTTAATTTATTTGTATTATGCCCGTTTGATTTCCATTGATTTAAGAATGAGAATGAAAAATATAACTATTACATGACTCACACAAGAGATAAAAAGTCAAATATGGTGATTTGATCTAATTGATAACGATCATATTTTTCATTTTTCTGGTCAAAGAATGGGAGTCAAATGGGGTTTAATATTGTTTACATGGGGCACAAGTCATGTTGTCTCGAGGACATGCTTGTCAATATGAAAAATTGTGAACTTGGGTAATTCGGTTGCATTTATGCCTCTAATTAACCTTTTGAATGTGTTAGGAAAATGTGTAATTGGTAATCTGGGACCTAAGGACCTATTTGTCAAAATTGTAAAGTCAATGACTAAATTGTACAGGTCAAATAGTTTAGGGACTAAAGTTGCAATTTAGTAAAGGTCATAGCATAGGTCTAAGGTAAAGTGGGATGCTTTGAAGATGCAAACGGCGCGTTGATGTCGCTGGAGTTTCGCCCTGACCTTGCTAGAGCCAAAATTGCAGAATTGACCTCGCTGGAGTTTCGCTGGTCTATCGCTTGAGCGAAGGTACGTCGCTCGAGTTTCGCCAGGATCTCGCTCGAGCGACTGTGTTATCTGACCTTTGGGTAATTTTAATGCCTCGCGAATTTTTAACGCTCCATATTACCAAATTCGACCTGCTATATAAACAAAACGTCCGATTTTCATTATGTGACCTTTGGAAAACAATAAAACAACAATTCCTCTCAACTTCCAAAAGATCAAGAGCCAAAATAAATTCATTCTTTTCATCTTTGATTCTCATGGTTCTTTGAATAAAAACATCAACCCTCACAAAACCAAAACACCCTTTCATATCTCCATATAAACTTCCAGAAGATCATCTGTTTGAAGATCCGGGAAGGAAATTGCTAGAAGAGCTGGAGCGCTTGGTGATTCACAGGAGGTAGAAGATATTCAAAGTTGGGATTTTGGCGCAGATCTGCAAAATCCAGGATAGCTGTGGTCGATACAGTAAGGAGATCAGAATATTATTAGAATCAATAATGTCTGACGTACTGTAAGTCAATATCTTCTATAGTAGATCTCTACTGGCTTGTGCCCGGAGTTTTTACCCAGTTGGGTTTTCTCTGTCAACATTTTGTTGTGTTTTTACTGCTTTCTGTTATTTATTTTTCAACTGGTAATTCAACTTAGGTAGATAAAGTATGTGAATGAATCTAGGCAATGCATAATTGATGTGACTTGTTGCATCAGTTAATTAATTGTTTTAATTCCGCATAAACACCTATTCACCCCCTTCTAGGTGTTGGTTGGGTCGAACTATTGTTTTTCAAGTGGTATCAGAGCTAAATCTCGAGTCCTGACCCATAGTTGTCTAGATGAGTCAATCACTTTCTGTACCTCTGTACTTTGACGGAAGTAATTATGCCTATTGGAAGGTTAGAATGCGTGCGTTTCTTAAGTCTTTAAATGAGCATGTTTGGGTAAGTGTGCAAAATGGTTGAAAACCTCCCTCTACTATCGTATCTGGAACTGTTAACCTTGCTGACATATCACTATGGACTAAGGATGAAATAGCTGAGTGTAATTGGAATAGCAAGGGTCTTCATGCCCTGTTTATGGCCGTGTCTCCTGAAGAGTTTAGGAGAGTGTGAATGTGTGAAACTGTTAAAGAGGTTTGGGACATTCTTGAAACTACATATGAGGGAACAAAAACGGTAAAGAACTCTAAGTTACAAATGCTAACTTCTAGGTTTGAAGAAGTGAGAATGAAGGATGATGAAACGTTTGACGAATTCTATGCTAAATTGAATGACATTGTTAACTCTAGCTTCAATTTAGGTGAGAAAACTCTCGAGTCTAAAATTGTGAGAAAAGTGCTTAGGTCCCTGCCCAAGAGATTTAGGCCTAAAGTCACTGTCATTGAGGAAAGTAAGGACCTAGATGAAGTTAAAATTGAAAAATTGGTAGGATCGTTGCAAACTTATGAACTCACTATTACACAACCTAAGAAAGGAAAGTCCATAGCCCTAAAATCCATCAAAAAAGATGAATCTTCTGATACTGAGTCACTTAGGGACGAGAAAATCGCATACTTTGTTAAGAAATTTCAAAAAGTTCTCAAGAATAGGAGAAAGCCTTAAGATAAAAAGAGTGGAGCTCCTAGCAGATTCACAAAAGCAAAAACTGAAACGTTTAACAATAAAGGGTCGAGTGATAAACCACGTTTGGTTAGGTGCCATGAGTGTCAAGGTATAGGTCACTATAGGAATGAATGCCCTAGTTATAAGAAGAACCAAAGAAAAGGGAAACGTAGGGCCTTAGTTGTCTCACTTAGAGATAATGAATCTGAGACCAATGATAGACAGGAATCTTCTAGTAGTGAGGACGAAGGAAACTATATGACATTTGTATCGACTGTTAAGAGTGAATCTGATAAGGAGAGTGACAAGGTTGAGGAAGAACTTCCAAACGATAATTCTAGTAATGAGGAAGAGGATGACATAGAAATACAAGAAGCTTATCAACTTTTATTTAAGGAGAGTCTTAAAATCAAAAAGGTCAATAAAGCCCTACTCAAAAAGGTTGATGAACTTGAAAGAGAAAAAGAGAAACTTGCTAGTAATCTTCAGAATTCACTTAAGAGTGGCAGTGAGTTAAAGTGTGTCAATGAGAAGTTAGAAGACAAGATTAAGACTTTGACTAGTGAATTGATGAAATCTAATGCTCATCTCCAGACTTTCATAAGTGGGACTAAGCAATTGGACAATATTTTGGAAATGAATAAGCCTGCAGGAGATAGGAAAGGTCTAGGATATGTTGAGGGTAATACACATGTTGCTGGACTTTCTAAGACTGTTTTTGTTTCTGCCTCTAAGAAAGTTAATGCTGTTAGTAGTTCAAATAAGGGTAAGAATGTTCCGAGAGAACAGAGTCATCAATCACGTAGGAACTTCATACCTAGATACCCTCAGCCACGTACCTTTGAGCCTAGGTTCATTCCTACCTGTCACCACTATGGAGCCTTAGGACACACTAAGCCTAGATGCTATAGGTTAGGGAATGAGCATAAAAATCTGAACATTCCTAGTAAGGTTAGCTTTCTGTCTAATCAGGTTAGTCATTTGACTCATATGTGTGGTAATAAGGCTTTATTCACTACTCTTGATGAATGTAACGGTGGTATGGTTACCTTTGGAGATGGGGGTTCTGCACCTATTCTTGGCAAAGGTACTGTACAAATACATGGTTTACCTGTGATCTCTAATGTGCTTTATGTGGAAGGTTTAAAGTCAAACTTGTTAAGTATTAGTCAAATTTGTGATGCTGATTTTGAGGTGAGTTTTGTGCAAAAGAGATGTACTGTGTATGATTCGTCTGGTGGGGTGTTCTTGAAGGGGTTAGAACAACTGATAATTGTTATGGAGTCTTGTCTAATTCTAACTATGTGTGTAGGAGTGCTAAAATTGATGTGAGTGAACTCTGGCACAAAAGATTAGGTCATTTGAACTATAAGAGTCTAGTACAACTGGCTAAAAAAGAATTGGTAGATGGTTTGCCTAAGATAGGTCCTAGTGAAAATGTTGTGTGTGGACCATGTTAACTAGGTAAACAACTTAAGGGGAACCATAAGAAGACTTCAAAAATTCTGACCAAAAGAACCCTAGAATTGATAGACATGGATTTAATGGGACCATCTAGGACTAATAGTTTAGGTGGTAAGCGATACATTCTTGTTGTGGTAGATGACTTCTCAACTGTTTGGGAGTAAGTGCTACATTTTGCGCGATAGAGAGAACTTGAGTAAGTTTGAATCGAAGAGTGATGAAGGAATCTTCTTAGGGTACTCTAGAAATAGCCGAGCATTTAGGGTGTATAACTTACGTACTCGTGTGGTGATGGAGTCAGTAAATGTTGTGATAGATGATGCTGTGAGTGAGAGGGAGAGTGTTGAAAATTGTGATAAAGATGGTGATCTTATAAGTTCTAGGGATCCTATAGAGCCACCTGTGTCTGAATCATCTCTTAGGAAACCTGAAACACCTGAAAAGAAAACACTTCCACAAGATCGAGATAAAGATCTTAAGGAACCATCGACTAGGGTTAAGTCTAATCATCCTAAGGACAATATCATTCGGAATCTAGATGAAGGTATGAGGCTTCGTAGGAGAGTACTGAACAATCTAGCATACACTAGCTATGTCTCTCAGATAGAACCTAAGAAAGTTGAAGAGGCTCTTAGTGATGAGTGTTGGGTGAATGCGATGCATGAGGAGCTCAATCAATTTGCGAGGAACAATGTGTGGATCTTAGTTCCCAGACCTGAGAATTGTAATGTTATAGGTACTAAGTGGATCTTTAAGAACAAGACAGATGACCAAGGTACTATAACTAGGAATAAGGCTAGACTAGTTGCTCAGGGTTATACTCAAGTTGAAGGAATTGATTTTGATGAGACTTTTGCCCCTGTTGCACAACTTGAGTCTATTCGGATTCTGCTTGCTGTTGCATATACCTTAGGGCTCAAGTTGCATCAAATGGATGTTAAAAGTGCCTTCTTGAATGGACTTCTTCAAGAAGAAGTCTATGTGGAACAACCAAAAGGATTTGTTGATCCTAAGTTTCCCCACTATGTCTACAAACTTCACAAAGCCCTTTATGGTCTGAAACAAGCTCCTAGAGCTTAGTATGAGAGACTTACATCATACCTTGAAAAACATGGATTCTCTCGAGGTGGTGCAGATAGGACCTTATTTATTAGACATGTTGAAGAAACTATCACCATTGCTCAGATTTATGTCGATGATATTATTTTTGGTTCTCCTCTTGAGTCTTTAGCTTATGAGTTTGCTGAGTGTTTGAAGCAAGAATTTGAGATGAGTATGGTTGGGGAGTTGAGTTATTTTCTTGGACTTCAGGTGAGACACACAGAGGATGGACTGTTCATTTCACAGTCTAAATATGCTAAGGATCTAGTTAGGCGCTTTGGGTTGGATAGTAAGAAGCATACTAGGACACCTATGAATACTAGCTTGAAGTTAGGTCGTGATGCTTCGGGTAAAAGTGTCGATCCTTTCCTATATAGAAGCATGATAGGTAGTCTTCTTTATCGCACAGCTACTAGACCTGACATTGCTTTTAGTGTTGGAATGTGTGCTCGATTTCAGGTAGATCCAAAAGAATCACACTTAAGCTCTGTTAGACGCATCATTAGATATGTGAGTGGAACAATTGATCTAGGAATATTCTATTCTAGGAATTCTAATCTTGACTTAGCTGGTTACTCCGATGCCGATTGGGTCGGAAACACAGATGATAGGAAAAGCACGATAGGGGGTTGTTTTTACATGGGTAGCAATCTCGTAGACTGGTTGAGTAAGAAACAGAATTCTATATCTCTATCCACGGCAGAGGCCGAATACATAGTTGCAGGGAGTTGCTGCACTCAGCTTCTCTGGATGAAGCAGATGCTGAGTGATTATGGGATTAGTCAAGAGACCATGACTGTTTTCTGTGATAATACAAGTGTTATAAATATTTCTAAGAATCCCATTCAACACTCTCGAACAAAACATATTGACATACGACATCATTTTATTCGTGAGCTTGTTGAATCACATGTAGTCTCTCTCGACCATGTCTCTACTGTTAATCAATTGGCAGATCTACTTACGAAACCACTAGATGAATTGAGGTTTGAGTCGCTTCGGACGGCTATTGGTGTTTGCTCACCTATCTGATCATGGATTCATGCATATTCATGCATTTATCACATATGTACCTAATCACTTCATAACTTGCGTGTGATCTATGTGTGTGATGCATTTTTGACTGTTAGTTTGTAGTTTAGTAGTCTTTTGTGTGTTTAAACAAAATAATAATAATAATAATAATAATAATAATAATAATAATAATAATAATAAGAATTTTTTTTGTGCCTTTTATGTAACGAATATGGCATGTGCATTAAAAATCAAACTCCATTTTTATCATATGTACGAGTCTGAGGTTCCATCATTGTTCATTTTTGTCTGTGGAGTTCTGGGTATATGGCTCGTCGTTCATTTTCACACAGTACACATTGTAGTCCTGTAAGCGAGTCTTGACCGCATGGGTGAGACTTGGGATGGTGTTCTTCTGTGATTGGGGTTGTATGTATATGTGACTTGATTTGGGACGAGTGTAACCTAATAAATATTGTCTTTCCCAAGTTTTATTTTGATTATTCGTTGAACTTATGACTGTTTTCGGAGCCTACTTGACTCGAACAATTAAGCTTGAGGGGTTTCTAACCTGGTGCCCTAGGGTCGTCTGACTTGGGAGTCACCGGCCCAAAGTTCGTTACTGGGGTCATTTCTGTCTCCTAATGAGGATTGCATTGCACTTAAGTTCTTTTGCTCTTACTATTTACAAAAAAAAAAAAATTGAATCATACAGTTAGGGGGAGTAAAATTGTGACAATCGTAATTATTGATATCGGTCCTCGTGGAATTGGATTTGATTGTCACTTGGTAGCCATTCACCTTTGTCTGGTTGTTTTCACGTGTCCTTTCTCACTAATTTAAGGTTTTGAGTCTAACTTGCATGGACTACGTGGCACTTCTCACAGTGATGTTCTGTATATATTTTACTCCACGGGATGCTGAACTGTGTGTGGGCTTAAGATTTGTCTCTGTGCTGGTTGTCAAGTTTGTGACTTTATGCTTTTTGGTGGTATCGTTTACATACTTTGGTTCCATACTTCGGTTTTGATTTTTGGGATTATTTTTCGATGCTCTGCAATTGTCTTATCTTTGCAATTCCACGCCTTGGAGCTAATTTCGTCATTTCTTGAAACTTGTGTTCTTTTTCTCAAAATTCAAAAATTTGGTGCTATTTCTGACATTTGAATTCGCTCGAGTCTCGCCTGAACTTAGCTCGAGCGACAAAAGCAGAAGGCTTTTCGCTCGAGTTTCGCCCATTCCTCGCTCTAGCGACGGTGCTTTTTAAACCCCTCGCCTGTTTCATTTTCGCGCATTTTTTTTCTTTCTCTCTTTTTTTTCCTTCTTCCATTTGATTCCCATCTCTTGACATTACTTGGTTTCTTACATAAGTTTGAGGGCCCTAACCTTGATTCCTAATCCGGATTTCATCTTCTTCATATTGATTTTGAGGTATTTTCATTTTTTTCTTGTTTTTCTCATTTTTGTGTTGTTTCATTGTTCTTGTGTTTTTGCTTGTTTGATACGTGCATTATTATGATCCTCATGCATTTTGTGATTGGTTTTATTGGTACACTTCGCATTTGCCTTCACCATTAATTATGGATTGCGTGTTCTTCCATTGTTTCGTTATAGCATTTTCGTGTTTTTGGTACCATGTTCGTCGTGGTCGTTCTTGCATTCCGTTAATCCGTTTGATGTGTGGTTTGTTTCATTTTAAAGCCCTTGGATTCTAGTTTGTGGGACTATGCTTGGATGCGTGCTTGGGTCTCGTATGTGCTTGGAATTGTGTGCCGAAGTGACGCTCGTCATGTGTTCGATGAACGTCCCCTGTTATGTTTTGTTTGTTTTCCTTAGTTTGTGTGTTTCAATTTTTCCTCCTCTTCATTCCGTCTTTGTTTCATTCTCGTCACGTGACTTGTTGAGTGTTTTTACACATTTTTTTGGTGTATAAGTACATCATGCTTGGTTTGCTCTTAGAGTCGTTCACGTTTTTTGATGCATCTCTTTCGTGCCTCATTTGTGTGTGCGGTGTTTCATTTCATATTGCATCGTACCCCATGCATTCTTCATCTTACTTATTAAGTTCCTCTCTCCATGTGCCAGATGGCCCGTAAGCGTTCTCGACCCTCTGCGCAACCAGCTAGTGGTTCGACGTCGTATAGTCGTTCTAGATTCATTTCTGCTACAGCTCAGGAGGTCTTCACTTCTCAGTTCTCCTTACGCCCCGTTCTCATGGAGCGTGAGGTAATCCTCTTTGACCTTCCTGTTGATATCGCCGCCATTTTTGTTTTTCGGGGTTGGGAGCCCCTTCTTGTTGGTCTTTCACCTCCTCCCCCACTCCTCGTTTAGGAGTTCTATGCTAATATTCATGATATCGACGACTCGTCTTTTAGGGTTTTTCTTGAAGGTCATTCTTTTAGGGTTACTCCATCGGCTGTAGCTCATGCTTTAGGTATACCTCAGATTACACATCCGACTTATCCCTATATTCTACCTGCTTCTATTCCGGCTGATGCTCTTGTTCGGTCGACGCTTTTGAACACCCCGTCTGTTGGGGGGCCTACGACGATGGCCACAGATTCCTTACCAGCTGATCGTCAGGTTTTGTTGCGCATCGTGTGCACAAACTTGTGGGCCGTTGCCCATACCTCTTCATTACCTATGGTGCGTGCCTGTTTTCTATATGCCCTTCTTCATGGGGACTCGATCGACTTTCCTAGCTTTGTGTGCCAGCAGATTCTAGCTTCATTTCGTACTCCTGGGGGTCGGATCGGGTTGCCTTATGCTTGCTTGATTCATAGGGTTGCTTTGTCTTTGGGTGCTTCTTTTCCAGAGGGTTCGACTTGTCGCATAGGACATCCGATAGGACAGCAGACCATTCATCAGAGTCGATCCCATG